TGCCCCCCCCCCCCCCCCCCCCCCCGGGCCTGTGGGACACAAAATCTCATCACGTCTTAACAGTTGAAAGCTTTGCTTGTTTCTTTCTCCTTTAAGGTTTCTGATCAAAAACCATTGGGCTGCTGGTCAGTCAAACAAGGCCAAAGCATTACATGTCCAGCTGTGTGTAATTCTGAAACAGGAGAATTTGTTCTTGTCCATGATGATAAGGTATTTATTTTTAGTTCATGTGACTGGCTTGCAAGAAATGGTGTATTGCATTCTGTGGGCGACTTGTTAGCATATGTGGCCTAATTGTACTAGATTTGTGAATATGTGTGATAGGTTTTTTTTACCAAGTTTCTTTGTGTCTTACAAGAAATATAATGAAGAGCTTTTTATTTGTGTCCTAATTTCCTTTGTATGTTAGTCTCCAGGCTTTCCAAAAGTGATAGGAAATCTTATGATATCAGAGTCAGGTGCCAGAAAGAGGGAGGCAGAGTTATGACTTTGCATGTATCAAAACTAGGACCGTAGACAAACAAGCAGGAGCCACGATACTCTTAGTCTCTGTGTATGCACACACGCAGCATATTCTTGCAAAAGGCAGCACAAAAGTGACAGCTCAAGAGGGACTTGTGACTTAACAAGTGAGGCTCTGTATCCCACATTGGGGTTGATTCCATTGGTACAAGACTTCTGCTCCCATGGCTTTATCCTTTTATTTAAAAGGTCTACAGTAAGAAAAATAGCTGCTTTTTCCAACATACATTTAGGAGTGAATGTGTATCTTAGTGCCATACTTACTCTTGTTCACATTTTTATATAAAGTGTTGGTTAAGCAGGTAAGCATTGTGCAAACTAATACTATCATAAATGTACTGAAATCAACAGGATTATTCCCATGTACACAGAATTAGAACTGAACACGAAATCTTCCTTTCTAGTGAAGGCAATTTATTTTTTGCACAAGGGTTAGTATGAAAGGGCAAAACTATGTTCTGTTGCTCTCCCTCCTTGTTTGTCTCTTTAGCAACTAGCAGTATATTCCTCCTGGTAAGGCCAAGGCCGAGGTTTTGTTTTTTTCTGTTATACTGATGATTTGTGTTGATTTGTGGTATTAATATTTGTAATTTTGATGTGTGTAATCCGTTTCACATGCAGGGAAATGTGGAATCTTGTGATTTTTTTTAAAAAAATTGGTTTTATGGATGTAAGTCTGTAAATGTTCCCTGTCTCAGGATTCTGACAGCTTTGTGGGTCTGATGGAGTTGTACTCATGGTCAGTGGTGTGAGTTTTCTAAATTTAAATAAATAAGTTTTGTATTTACATGTTAACAACAACAAAAAGGCAAACACACCGTGTACAAAGCTGAACTGTTTTCAAGGGGTTTGTCTGTGCTTCATATCCTGTATTTAGCCCATCTAACATGATTGATGCACAGCACACCAGCCTTGACAATGATAAATAAACCGTATTTACATATGCAGGATGGAAATTTTTCAAATGGGAAAATACAGCATTGAAAAATTTCCACATCACTGAATCCAGTATATCATTGTACCTGTTTTAGAGGATAATCATAGGGCATAGAAACTAGCATGCCTCAATGAGGTTTAAGAAGCTGTGTTCAGCCAATCTTTGAATATCTTTAGCGATTATTGCTCTTTATTAAAACGTTACAATTTTTACAGATTTTACAGATATGGAAAGAAGATGACACTAACTTGGATAAAGTGTTTAAAGCAACAGTAAGTGTTAGTTACTGTAAAACTGTGAAAGAGGACTTTTTGTCTTATCACCATGAGTAGCTGGTCTGTTGGACCCTCCCGCATCTTGGACCCTCATCTGCCTGAGTGCTTCCCATAGTTCTGTAAACTTCCTGTTCCTACCCAAAGACTTTCTCCTTCTTTTTGGCCTTGCCTTTAAGTCATGTGATAGTGAATGTAGTGGGGATTGCCATTTTTCTGGCAGTAGGGAAAAAAGGTAAGATGGTGATTCCCTGTTGGTGCATTGCCTGGGATCCTGAATCAGGATGAAGACAGGAAGATAAGTCTTTTTGCCTATCCCTCTACTGTGATCACAGGGTCTACCTGTGCTGCTACCTTGTTGGAAATACTTGACATTTTAAGACAGAAGGAAATCAGATCTTTTTCTAGAGCCTGATATGGTAGCAGCCAGGTTAAGAGAGAGCCAGGTCTAGAGAAAAATCATTTTTTATATGGTGGAGCATGGAATCCAGCCCAGTATTTTCATGTTAGTACTGTTTGTCTAACCAGAAGTGTAATTTAAGTGCTGTCCAAATGGGGTTGGTGCAGAGTTCGTGCATCTATAATTACCTATTTTATATTTTTATGCTTTTATTTTCAAAGACATACAGAATGAAATGCGTGAGATCTTCAGGTAGTCTTTCCAAATCTTATTGATTCAGAATCAAAATAAAAGCACAAGAAGAATAAAAGCGCAACTTACTCTCTGTCATTAGTTTATGCAAGCAGTGAAGCTGGATAGAGGAAAACATTTTTGCTGACATTACAATATTTATTACTGGCTTTGTACCAGGAATCCTGGATTTATTTCCATTTAAACTGCGCACTTTAGAAAATAAAGAGTAAGGTATGAGAGTTTTTGTTGTCTTTTTGCAGTTGTCGGCAGATGTTTATCGGATACATTCAGTGCCCAATGCGGAACCCCTGGTCCTGTTCAGGAATGGTGCTGTTAAGAGTTTGGATGTTCTGTTAGCATCACCTCAACAAGACATTAAAAGTGTGTTTTCAAATGAAGTGATTAGGTGAGTGCCACAGTTTGGACTAGCTTCACAATTCAAGGATCAAGTGATGAACTTCCTTAGCCACTCTTTGAAAGAGGGAGGGATAATCCGTGAAGTCCCACTCACTGGTCTGTTTCCATCAGTTTGTTCTTAATATTGGATATTTTGTGTGTGTGACTTATGGTCAGCTGCCTTGTATATTTTCAGATTAAAAAAAGGATTTAAAAATGTAAATAAACTTTTGATTGGATCCTACAGAGTGCTAGTTGGGAAGCAGTCACAGTTTCTCATCTTCTCTGTGCGCCCTCTCTTCCAGCAGCCACTTTTGATGCATGTGTCAGGAGACCTATGTGGGTACACAGTCTTGCAACACAGGTGGCTGTACTGAGGTGGGAGAGGGAGTAGGCAAATTGGTCCTTGTCGGCCATTCTTTGGCCAGTGAAACCTCTTGTGCCAGTGGAAGCACTTCTAGCAGAAGAATGGGCAGGGGGGTTCTGATTCCTCCTCTTCATTGCAGTTCTCCATCCTGCATGACTGTTCAGGTCCCAGGACCTCTGGAATCTGCTTTTTGCACTGAAAGATGGGGAATGTAGGAGAACAAAATTGTTTTCATGAGTACCCTGCAGTCACACTTCATAGAATCAAATCTGCCTTTGAATTAGTATAATTGCTTATTCTGACATTTGGGTTGCAGGGACTTTGAAATCCTCTAAGGAAGCATTGAGCTGTTGCTTTAAGTAACATATTCAGCATTTTATTTGGCAGTATTTTAATTATCTTCTAGTAATAATCATATAACTGATTTTTAGATGGAGTGAAGCTTTCGTGGAAGTAGAAAAACCTGTTGTTGTATTTATTACTGAGGAGGTGAGTTTTTAAAGGTTTTAAAGCAGCTATATGACATTGCATGACACTGTAAGACAGTTTGCATTAAATGTTCATTGGAGTTCAGATGACAGCAAAAATTGACAGTCATTGTGTCTGTTTGTGTCTTCAGAGTCTGTTTCACATTCTTACCCACTCTGTGGTGAAATAGTGCTGCTCATACTCATTCAGATCAATGGTTCCATCTGGTCAGTAAGGCTGACAGCATGTACATATTCCATGTTTTAACTTTATGTCACAGTTCTCTCTCTTCAGTCACAGTATGCTCCTTTTAAGAGATTGTTCAAACACAGCCTTGATTTCACAAATTGGGCTGACTTATTTCTAACAAACCTGGTGAATGTCTTATCTGAGTGACCTTATAGTGGCAACAAACAATGAGAAATTGTGCATTATATATGGTTTTCTCAGAAATCACGCAACTGACCAATGGAAACATAAGGTGTTCTTCAGCCCTATTAAAGTTTTGTTCTCCTAAATCCTCCATTGGCATAGCACCACTGTGGCATATCACTGTTGTAGAAATGACTGTTCCCTTGGAGGATTAGTAGAGGTGGTTAAAGGTTCTTCTGTTATGTCATAATGCTTTTCTCATTTGTAATTCTCAGTATATTTAAATGGGTTGTATCTAATGAACTGCCAGTGAAAGGTGTTGGTAAATACAGATTATTCCTCTAGCAATCCCTTTTGTCTTGCAGAAAATTATGTCTGGAATTACAAGACTTGCATGGACATACAGCTGTAGAGATCTGCTTGCAGAAAGGGGGACAGTTCTCCCTCCTCACTGCAGCTGCTGAACCCCATGGCCTTTTCTGGCTGTGCATTGTCAGCTATGGCCTTTCCAGCAGTTAAAGGGGATTGTCAGAAGAAGGGGAGATCATGTGCATTGCACTGATGGTTGGTTGGATACAACCCAGTGACTTATCTGCAAACCCAGAAATAATCTGTCCACATTGAACATAAAGAACAGCCTTTGTTGTAACTGTTTCAAAGTAATTAGGAAACAATTCTTTGCTTGTACAAAACGGTGGCAAGTCCTTACAATCTGAATCTGCTGTCTTAATTGCCTCTATGAAACCATCCAGTTAAGAAAACCTAAGTGCTCTTAACTTTTCTCAAGAGGGAGCACTGATTTCCTCTACCACTACCCATGCAGCCCACTGTGTCCCTTGCGATTTTTGTTCCTGGGATAAGGGGATTATAGGAGAACTGGCAGAAATTGCCACCTGTTTTTAAGAAAATTTAAGCACCATTAAATTGTGGGAATGTGGTTGTATATGTGCTGCTAATATAAACATATGAAGCTCAGACCTTTTCTTTCATTGTTGTCTTGCTGATTAATGATTAAATTTTCAATAAGAGCATCTCAAATAAGCAATTCTGTATTTAGTAACAAGTGATGTTGCTCTTAAGCTTTAAAATATCACATCTGATATGTGATGCACATAACAAGTAGTATCTAGCTGCAATGACTTTTACATGGAAAATACAAAAGTCAAAGTCTAATCTTTATTTTCAGGATGTGAATTGCTTCATATATGTTCAACACTGTAATCCGTATATGCTTCACAAGTTTAAACTTGATCAAGGAGGCGAGTCATCCACTCTACTGAGTTTTGCAGCATATTTGACAGACAAAACTGTCACACTCCTGTGTTTGTGTAAGTATTGTAGTATATTTAACTGTAGTGCACATGAGCAGGCATGATGCTACTTTTATTCCCATGTTTTGGAATTAAGCTTTATATAGTGACATAACAGCAATTAACCAGACACCCAAAAATAATTTCATTTTTTCAGTCACTCCCCCCCCCCCCAAGTTTTATTTTCGGTTTTCTAAATACATACAAAGTATATGCAGACAAATCTATATCCATTTGAGTCTATAACATCTACTGATTATTTATCCATATATATAAACGCTTCCACCTTTCAATAAAAAAATTTCATCTTTTCCTTGAAGCATAACACTTAATTTATCAAGTTCCGCTGTCGTTAATAATTTATACACTAATTCCTCTCTTGAGGGAAGGGACTCCTGTTTCCAGTATTTAGCTAGTAGTATTCTAGCTGTAGTCAATATAAATATTATCAAAATTTTATCTTTTTGATTGTAACCTTCCGAAAACATATTCAGCAAAGCTACTTCAGGGAACAAAGCAATTGTTACACACATCACTTCCGAAATAAATTTCTGAATCATCTTCCAGTAGTTAGTTACTTTCACACATCGCCACCACATGTGGAATAAAGTTCCGACATTCGAACAACATTTCCAACATATATTAGGTAGTGCAGCATTACATTTAGCTATCCTATCTGGTGACCAGTACCAGCGGTGTGCTGCTTTATAAATGTTTTCTTTATAGTTGATAGCTCTTAGGTATTTAAGAGATTTCCAAGTACTGGACCATTTATCTATTTCTATGCAATGCCCAATATCTTTCATCCAAGCCACCATTGAAACACTAACTTGCTCATCTAGAGTATATTCTTGTAACAGAAAGCTATAAATTTTGGGGATCATTTTGTCACTACTTGACAGCCAGATCTTATCTAGTTGAGTTTTGGAGTCTTGGAATCCTGCACGTATATCCTTCAAGTGTATAGACTGAAGTTGTGACATTTCCCACCATGATAATTTAACCCCATGTGTCCGGCGGGGCGGGTGGGTTGGCGAAGCGGCCAGGTGGGGGAGGGAGAGAGAGAGAGACAGTGGGGGGGGAGAAGGGAAGTGAGTGGGTTTGACAACCTTCCTCTCCTCCTGTCATTAGCCCCGCGGTTCCCTGCCCTGGCTCCTGGCTGGCCCCGCCTCCCTGTAAAGGGAAGGATGCGGCCAGTCCCTCTCCTGGCCGTTTCTCCACCTGTGGCCTTGGCATCCCTCCGTTCAGGCGGTCCACGTCCTGAGGGCGTTTCCCGACCGCTGGCCGCTGCTTGCTGGCCACGGCGTCTCCTGACGCTCCGGCTCCCCTGTCGCTTCGGCGCGCTCTCCGTACCTCCAGGGCTGTTCCCTGCCCCCGCCTGTCTGCGGTCCATCGGGCGTAGTCCCGGCTGCACACGGGACACAGGAGGCGAAGCAGGAGTGCGGCCCCCTCGCCTCCTCCCCCTCCCCGCTGTTAGCGAGGCGGCCGCCTCCTCTCGCGGCTCTCGCCTTCTGGGCCGGCTCTCTCCATCTCACCTGGGCGGAAAGCTGCCTCCCGGCCGTCGGCCATAGCCGCTGGCGCTTTTGCTCATCATGCCCCACTGCGTTGGAGGCGGGCCTCAGAGGACATGGCCAATGGAACGTGGCTAAGCCTTTGAGGGACAGCGCACCCGGACAAACAGTGTGGGTGCGCATTTTCTCCTCGCTGCATCAGTTTGCGTCTTACTGAATTATATATAAGGGAGAGATAACCTCTCTTCGGATTTTAATTTATTGTTTTCATCTAGTAGGGTTTCATAGCTCTCTCTATCCCACGTGTTTTATGAATGCTTCTAACGGGGAGACCCATTTAGGTGTTTTACTATAATATCTTGGTTTAATCTCATTCCAAATATTAGCCAGGGCCCCCCTTAACATATGTTGTCCAAAGTCTGAATGGATTTTATCCTTCCCATACCACATGTAGGCATGCCATCGCATTTTAAGGTCATGCACTTCCAGATTTAATAGTCTTGTATTATCCAAATCTATCCATTCTTTCAGCCAATTTAATGATGCTGCCTGATAATATAACTTCCAGTTTGGAAAACCAAAACCTCCATTTTCTTTTTTATCCTGGAGAATCTTCCATTTGATCCTTGGCTTTTTGGGATACCAAATTAACTTTTTAATAATTTTATCCATCTCTGTAAAGACCTGGGCATTTTTAAATATTGGGATGTTTTGTGCAAGAAAGAGAAATGTTGGTAGTATATTCATTTTTATAGTAGCTATTCTACCCATTAATGATATTTGTAAACTTTTCCAATATTGTAAATCTTTTTTAACATCTTCCAAAAATTTATAGTACTTGTCTTCTAAGAGCATACATTTTATTAGATACAGTGATCCCTAAATATTTAACCTTTTTCACTATTTCCACGTCCGTTATTTTCTGAATTTCTTGTATTGTATTATTTGTGCAATTTTTAGTAATTATTTTAGGGGGGTTTTAAATTTATTTTCAATCCAGCCGACTCCCCAAATTCTTGTGTCACCTTCATTATATTGGGTAAAGAATCTATTGGATCCTCTGCAATAAATAAAATATAATCCACGAAGGCTAAGAGCTTAAATTCTTCCCTCTTTAAGTCCTTTTATCTGAATATTTTCCCTGATCGTATTATTTAATGTTTCGAGTACAGTCACTTTTGAATATCATTCATAAAGCTATTATTGGAGGATGTTACGTGAGAATAGGGCAAAGTAGTGTTATCTGCTGTTGATATCAAGTTCCTAGCTATGCCTGTAAAAACAGAAAAGCTATTCCCTTTAATCTATCTGGCAAGTGATGCCTTAGCTTGAACTCAGTTGGAATCTTTTAGCAGCTGAGGGCTGTGTGCATGTGCTACGCAAGGGGTTTCCATTGAGGTGGCCATTGGGTAGCTTGATAGAGATCTATACAATGCAGAGAAAAAGGAAGAATGAAGCAAGGAAAAGCATCCCACCCTCCTTCTGAAGGGAAGCTCTGTCTGTGGATCCAAATGTATATATAAAACATTATATCTACCCATTCTGTAATTGGATTATATTCTTGCAGATTCCAGTGGATGTGTTTATAAGGTTCTCATCCCACTACTACAGAGTGACTCTGAGGAACAGCATATTTTACCAAAGTCACTTCTGACCAGGCTTGAAGAATCTGGCACTATTCTTAAACATGCTTCAATTGCTATTCTTGATAAAGATCACATTGCTGTGGCAGGATGTTCAAATTCCCCAGAAGGAAACACTAAAGGTAAGGCAAGTTGTTTCAAGACTCAACAGCTGGCCTGAAATTGCTCAATTTAATTAATTTCCTTTAAGCAGGAAGGAAGCATCCAGAAAGTATTCTCGGATATGGTTGAATCTCAAAGTAATATTCTTCAAATGAAAGCATTTCCATTCAGCCGTGGGGTGGGGTGGGGGGGTCCAACATTTTCATGCATTTTCTGCTTGAGCTGCAGCTCATATACTACAATAACACTATTCATGTGGGTCTCTCTAGCCCCCAGGAGCAATGAGCTTGGGGACAGGAGAGAGTCCCAGTGCCGCTATGGACGACACTAGGTCTATGGCCTGAGAGGAGGTTACTGCTGCATAAAGTGTGAAACAGCCATGCAATACAGCCAGTTGCTCAATGATGCTATATTTTTATAAGTATTTAGCATTAAAATATTATAAACTTGTACATTGTTAATGGTTATAAGTATTGTGTTTAAAGCAAAGGAAAGTAATGGCTACTAGTAAAAAACAAGTCCTTTTTAGAGGTCTAAGTAAGTAGCAGATCTGGAACCCAAGTGCAGTCCTTAAAAGGAACTTTACAGAGTAAACTGTATTTATAGTTTATATTGTAATTTTAATGAAATGTTTTATTGTATATCTATATCTATGTTGTTAGCCGCCCTGAGTCTGCCGAAAAGCAGGGAGAGCGGGATATAAATATAATAACAATTAAAAAAACTGTGCAGATGAAGTCATCTGTGGTTCTTTGCTGATAATGACTTCTGGTTTCTGTTAAGAGATGCCTGCAGGTTATAACAAGTGATCAGTAGGATAAGTATTACTGTACTTTTTGGTTTGCCCCTGACTGTTGCAAGACTAGGAGAGGAACACTTCTCACCTTGTTTGTGTGGTGAAATGGACATCCGCTCATAGCCAAATGTTGGCTTTTTTGCTTCAGGGATATTTGATGGTGGTCAAATTGATAGTGTTTGGTGGATTGAAAGTGTGCCCACCATAGGAAGGGAAAAGATTAATGGAAGGCAGGGAAGGGGAAAACATGTTGATCTTGGTCTGATAAATTATATGAGAATGCACAGTAGAGAAAAATTATGCAACTGAATGTTAATACAGATATTTGTTGTCTGTTTTTGCATTCAGACTACTAGCCTGCATAAGCTACTAATTGTTCAAAAACACAGTGAAACTGCAATAATTATTGCAAATAGTCAGTAGAAAAGTTCTTAATATATTAACTACTCCTTTTTGTTTTTTGGATGTAGTGCCAAAATATCTTTAATACATTTCCAAATGTAATTCTCAGTTACTATCTGCACATGGGCAAACAGCATGATTTTTAATATCTTATTTTAACATCTTATTTTCCTGTTCGTAGAATGGGTTTCCTTATGGAATACAAAATTTCAAACACTGCAGGATTCCAAAGAATTGCCGCTGGGATCCACTGGACAGGTAGGCTTCAGCATTTGTTTGTAGGGACATAGTTAATTTTCTGTAGCTAGTTTACTATAGAAATTCATATACAGATCATGTGAGGTGTGGAAAGCATCTTGTTGAAAGAAAAACATGGTAATCAAGTCTTAAAACATTTCCTATTATTGAGACTGTGTACTTGTAATGTAGTAAATACAACTACCAGGAGATTCATTATTTTCTTTGCCTGAAAAGAAATAAAAATAGTTACCAAGATTGTTGCACACAAAAGGATATAGGGGAAGGTCCACAAAAAGAAGCAGGGTGGGGCCCATCAGATGGAGTTTTTCTTCTCTTCAGTCATGAGCCTCCCCCATAATCTAGATTCATTTAGCTTTTAGCTTTTATACATTTCTGTGTTAGGGCAGTGGCAGTATGAATAGAAGCTACACTGAACTATCTACAGCAAACTATTTTTTAAATTGCTTGTATGCTAACTTTTTACTTCTTTGGGCATTCAAGGCATCTTACAATAATAATTATATAGCAGTAACATACATAAAATATCAACTATTGCGTTATAAGAGTTAAATCATAACAGTAGTGCTTGAAAACACCGTTCAGGTGGCTGATCTTTGTAAGTATGTATGTGCTCAGTTTTTACAAAGCTATTATGTCTTTCAAAATGCCTAATTTGTGTTAATAGGACAGCTGAAGCGAGGAAGAGGGTTCATTTATGAACTGGGAATCTCAGAATTTTGTAGCATCTTAGATTGCAAGTGTGGCTTCAGTGTGGATAAGCAACAGCTCATCAAACAGATATCAGCTCACTAACTGTGTATCCCATGTTTTCTAGTGCTGGTGTTACGGAGGCAGATTCTTTGTAACACATGGGAAAGAATTAAAAGTAATCCTGTATAAATGTGAAACATCATCCCTAGCTGCTGCTCTTGGGAAAATCAAGAGTACACCAACATCAGGTAGGAGCTTAATTGTGCAGTTGTAGTCCACATGATGAAGTTACCACTAAATTTCTTCCGAAGAGCTGCCTATAAAACTAATAAATGAAAAATGATGAGTCATAGGGAAACCTGATACAGTAGAAGGAATTTTTCTCTGACTTTTCTGCTTCAGAATATAGTGCCGTAATATCCAGCAATTGTTACTCAAGTACTTCAGTTTCTGTATTCTGTATTTTCTTCCTGTTTATCTGTCTCCTTAAGTGTGGTCAAGAGTAATGTTTCCTGGTGGTATGTATACTGAAGAGACAGGATGCATTGTTTTAATTATTTATGCAGTACCATCAATATCTGTGGCACTTTATAGAGCATCATAATCAAAACACAGCTTGCTGTTGGGAGGAGATAACTTAGGGTTGCCAAGTCCAAATTCGGAAATATCTGAGGACTTTGGGGGTGGAGCCAGGAGTCTTCGGGGGTGGAGCCAGGAGATTTTTGTGATGTCACTTCCTGTGATGTCACTTCCAGGTCAAATGGCAAGTGATGTCACTTTCCCTTCTGATGATGTCACTTCCAGTACACTGCACCAAAACCCCACCTCTTCCTGTGATGTCACTTTTCAGGTTCTCCCCCAAACCTGCCTCTCCCTCTGAAGTAACCTTCTTTCAAAAATTAAAATCTAAATTCAATGTCATATATCAATTCCGACCCCCACCTTTCCCCTATTTTACAGTACCTCTAGGTTTTTAGGCCTCCTTCCAGTGCAAAAATAACAAAAAGCTTTAAGAAACATAAAATGCTTTAATTTAAACATTTAACAATCAGAAGGAAAAAACAAGCAAACAGCACAATACATTCGAACTAGAATCAATTTACAGAACTGGAGAACAATGCAACGAATGACCTGGTAAGGTAGCATAAGAACATAGAGCATAAGATGTTGGATCAGGCCCATCCAATCCAATCCTCTGTCACACAGTGGCCAAAAATACCAGGTGCCATCAGGAGGGCCACCAGTGGGGCCAGGACATTACAAGCCCTCCTACTGTTGCCCCCCCCCCAAGCACCAAGAATACAGAGCATCATTTGCCCCAGCCCGAGACTTCCTATCTATACCTTGTGGCTAATAGCCACTGATGGACTTCTGCTCCATATGCTTATCTTATTCACGCTTGAAGCCGTCCATGCTTATAGCTGCCGCCACCTCCGGTGGCAGTGAATTACATGTGTTATCCACTCTTTGGGTGAAGAAGTACTTCCTTTTATCTATTCTAACCCGACTGCTCAGCAATTTCATTGAGTGCTCACGAGTTCTTGTATTGTGAGAAAGGGAGAAAAGTACTTCTTTCTCAACCTGCTGTATCCCATGCATAATCATATAAACCTCAATCATGTCACCCCTCAAGAACAGTTTAAGCATGGTATAACAGAGTCCTGTCAAAAGTGAACCCTTTTCACTGATTTCAGTAGGAAAGATAAGCACACCCTGAAACGTTCCATTGAATTCAGTAGGATTCAATGTGCTTTATTCTGACTGAATGAGACTATATGCCCTAGAAAAAGATCACCAGACAACATTCCTTCACACTGTGCAAAATACGCAACAGAAAGGTCTAAGAACTGAAGGCTGAACACTCTGCCAATATCCTCTACCTAAAATCCTGGAGAACCACTGCCAGTCAGAGTAGACAATGCTGATATTGATGGACTGATGGTAGAGAGACCATGCCTTGTGTGCCTAAAGATAAAGTTTAAACCTAGGAGGTCTAAGAGAACCTCAGGTGTTGGAAAGGATATGAAGGCTGAACACTCTGCCAAACTCCTCTACCTAAGACCCTGGAGAACCACTGCCAGTCAGAGTAGACAATGCTGATATTGATGGACTGATGGTAGAGAGACCATGCCTTGTGTGCCAAAGGATAAAGGTTTAAACCTAGGAGGTCTAAGAGAACCTCAGGTGTTGGAAAGGATATTTCTCTGTCTGTGTCTCTAGAGCTCACCTGCATGAGAGCAGACCATGCTGAAGTAGATGGAGCAATGGCATGAAGACCAGTGTGGACTGAGGAGACCCATGTTCAGATCTACATTTCGCATGATGCTTACTCGGTGATACTGGGGCAGTTAGATTTGAGTCCAGTAGCAGATTAGAGACCAACAAGAGTTTCAGGGAATAAGCTTCCAA